GAGAGAGAGAGAGAAAAGACGAAAAAAATTCGAGTAGAAGAGGCGCAAAAATTATATAATTATATTATTCACGTCTTTATACATAGACGCTTTGTATATGTAAAAAAAAAATTTTTCTTAAAAGCCGCTATAAATGTTTTCACCAAAACGAATCTCCGTTTTAACTCTTGTTTTATTATCGGGTTTTTTTTATTTTTCTTTTTTTTTTTTTTGAGAAAAGACAGCGTGGACAGAATAATCCGGATAAAGAAAAAAGAAAAAAAATAAAGTTCAATTTCAAGATTCCCGCGCCGAAAGCTTATTTTTTAAAGTATATTGCGCTAATAAACTTGATAAACTTATTTTGGAAGTATATTGCTTTAATAAAGTTAATAAACGAGCGCATTTATATCACATTCCTGGCTGGAACGCGCGCTAACGTGTACCGCCATCCTCTTGGGCGTCATTTCGCTTCTTTTCCGTCTCTTTCTATTCGTCTTTCGTCTCGTCCTCCTTCTCCGTTTCATCCTCCGTCTTCCCCCCTCCGCCTCCCTTCTTTCCCTCCTCTTTCTTACCTTTTTTTTCTTTTTCATCCTCTTCCAGCTCGGACACTATTTAACATTTCACACGTGAAACGCGTGATGTTGATAATAATAATAATAATAATAATAATAATAATAATAAATTATTATCAATTTATCACTTTTCTCGTCCTCGGCCAACTCTGGACGATCCGTTTCCAATTCGGATTGCAATTCGGGACTCGTGGTCAACGGTTCCGTGGTTGATTTTTCGGTGTTCTCTGAGGGTGCTATATCGTCATCCTCTGTCAAAGATTCTTCCACGTAAATTGGGGGTTTGACTTCCGGCTTTGGTTCTGGGACCGGGCGATATTTAGGTTTAACTTTTTCGATATCTTGTTTGGAAAAAAAGTTTTTTTGAATCATTTGTTGGAATATTATCGTCTTCGAAAATTAGAATCTTTTGAATAGTATAATCACACCCACCCTTTTCTTCTATTTCTTCCTCCTCTTCGTCATCCGGCAATTCTAATTGCAAGAAATTATATTATCTTATACGTAATAATTTTTGTCCTTTTCAATTGTGGTCGTTTAATTTTAACGATTGAAAATACGTAGCTTTTAACGTAGGTTTTTAAAAACTTATAAATAGTTGTTTAAATTATTAATATAAAATCTAAAAAATTATTGTTAAAAAATAAACCGTAAAATATTCGTTAGATGTAAAAATTTACGTATCAAATATTATAATACTTTTTACTAAACGTGACATCTTCATTTGCTCTTTGAGAGCTACTTGAAATTTCGAGCTCATATACATCATTTCCTCCCGAGTGCCATACTCTTTGGGGATATCTTTGCGCGAGGTTATCTTTTCAAAAATCTTCTGATGCACTTTATCGACAACGGCATCAGCGACCATTGTTGACGTTGTCTCCAATTGTTGCAAATCGTACTTTTGCTTTTTTGCACGATATTTTTTATAAGCTTTCTATGAAAACAAATGTTAATCTTAAAAAAAAAAGAAAAAAGAGAAAGAAAAGGAAGGGAATAAATCTCCTCAATCCTCGATTAATTTATTTACGAGATTAGAGAGAATCATTATTACAATTATTTTTAAAAAAATGCAATTGCATATCTTTCAAAGATTGTTGAAAAATATAGAATTTTGTCGCGAATTTCATGAGTTCTAAAGTTAGAAAGAACGATAATGTTTAGCGTTACTTGGATAATTGTAGCAGCTTCGTGGGCCTTTTGCATTTCTAATCCAGAATCTTCGTACATCACGTCCATCCAAGCAACCGCTTGGAAAGCCTCCACGGGTTCCAATATACGTTCATCCTTCTTGAGAGGTTCGTCTTCCACTACGAACATTAACAGCCATCTCAATTTTCATTTCAAATAATATCTTCCAAAAATTTACACCGAATTCACGCAATTACTGTCTTACGAGGGTCGATCTTTTGATTTCTTCTGTTGTAGTATCCTCGATAGGCAAACTAATTACGCGTTCAATTAACCAATTAAACGATCGTCACGTTTATGTTTAAATAAGTAAAAATTCATTACTTTCACGTGTCTTGCCGCTTTAGCGATTTCCGCTTGCGTTGCACCAGCCTTCCTCAGAATATCCAGAGTGTTCACCACTGCTCTTTGCCATTGAATTTTTCCTTGTGCCTCGTTCAATGACATCCTTTCGTAGTGGCCACGGAACGCGGACTGATTTCCATTTATATTCAACATTTGACGAATTGTACGAACATTTAAGGGATTTAGATATTTTGTACTTTACAGTAAACTTTTTTTTTTTTTTTTTTTTCAACTTGAAATACCGACTTGTATTATTATGGAAGCTTGCTCTGCATCTTCGAGTGTTGCCCCTGTGGCTTCTAAAATATTTCGAATCGACATCTTGGATTTCTCGTCGCAAATTGTATCTAAACGATTGAAACACTTGCAAACATTATTTTTCTACAAATCGTTGTGTAATTCATTATTAATCTTGACACGATACAATCATTATCAAGTTTTCATTGAAAGTTGTATAACCATACAGAATAATAATTTGTTGAAAATATAATAGCGTTTAAAATTCCAACTAGCGATTAAAAATTTTCTTCCAATAACACTTAATAGATTTTTTCAATACGTCCATCATAATTTAATTTTATAAGAAATAATATTTCTTTCTACCTTTGATCTTACAAAGGTATTATAAATTTATTTCGAATTATGAGAGGTTAACCAAAAAATTCAAAGGCCTTGGAAATTAATTTAAAAAAAAAAGAAACAATCATTTAATTTTCCCACCCCCAATGCACCCATCGTGCGACATTTATATACATACATATATTAATACGTAATTTTTGCCAAGATCAATTGCCAACCTATTTCCCGGCTTTCAACTTGCGCACACGCGCCTACTATTCTCATTAATCATCCCGACTGAAACCACGTTGAGGAATAATTTCCATCGATAACAACTCGTGCCTGTATATCTTCCCCCGAGTTTCATAATTTTTCCCCACGAGGCACGAGGCCGGCCATAAAAGCAGCCCGTTTAAAAATAATAACGCTTGCCACTTCCTTTCTCTTATTTTTACGATTCATTTATACGGCTCCCCTTACCCTCGCATATCAATGGTCGCAAGTCCATCGCGTCCAGATACGAGCGGAATACTTTCTGTGAAGGGCGAAGAGAATTAGAAGGAGGAGGAAATATATGGGCACGCGAGAAAAGAATAAAAAATTTACTTGAATCCGTGGGGCGGCGATCGCGACTTGCTCCAAAGTGAAACCAGCCCGGTAAAGTATGCTCAGAATTGCCTCGCTTCCGAGTAGAATATTGTTTACGACTTTGACTGCAACTGGGGGAGCGAATTTAATAACTCGGTCGAACTGTTAAAAAAAAAAGAAAAAAAGGAAAGGGCGAAGCAGAGGAAATTCTTCTGAGCAAAATTGAAATCCGTACTTTTTGTATTCTCGCGCGTGATCAGAAGAGTGTCCACGTATTCGGCGATAAAGGCGAGAATGTTGGTCGGTTGGGAGCGAAGAACCTGGTTTTATATTCATGGAGTGAAGGATTAATAGGAGAACGGTGATTAGATTAGGCAAAATTAAATTATTTTAAGAGCGAAGGATATTGTTGCGCGGATAGTTGTAAATGATGTTTAGGAAATGTTTAGGAAGGTTATCGAGGCAAGATGTTGGATAATATTTGATGAACGCGCATAATTTTTGCATCGATGAATTTTATAATTGAATTTTCGAAGGAATGCGATATATTTAATATTTGCCGATAAGATATTGCTCACTTCCCGTGAAATGTCACTACACAATTCTCGTAGTCCTTCCGGCACTTTGTATACGTGCTTAGCTCCGTGCTTCTGAAGCGTCGGGTCCATTTTTATTTTTTTTCTTTTTTTTTCTCTTCTAATTATTGTCCACCAATTAAATTTAGAAACCGGATAGAAAAGATCAGGACTTTCTGTCATTCACAACTTTTTAGACGTTTTGTTAATTTTTTTAATCGTTGCCCGTTAAAGCAAAATTAAATTCTCTTTTGTTTCGTAAAATGCACACCGTGACTGCATTCAATTCGAATATCTAGGGAAATTTTTATATTAATCTGTTAACTTTGGGTTCTAGCTTGGGTTTATTAAATCGAGAAAAAAATTGCGAGAATTTCTATCGAATTTTTCATAGCCCATAGTTAATTAATTTCTTGAAGCACGTTATCCAATTATTTGATTTAAAATGATAAATTAGACTTTTGGAAAATAATACGACACCCCAGTATTCGAAAAATTAATATCTCGACGTTCAATGTTGCGTATATGGAATACAATACTTCGATCACTTATCAAACAAATAATAAATAAATAAATAAATATATTCCTTTTCTATGATGAAACGAGCCTCAAATTTTAATATATTGCATCAAGAAAACGTCACGAAAAAAAGTAAAAGTTTCTCTATAACGAATAATTAATGAAACAAGAGTATCTGTAAAAAAAAAAAAAAGAATTTTTGATTCTGAAAAGATTAAAATTTCCTTTTCTTTTATAATTTCTTCTTCAACTAATATCCCTCTATGTAACAACGCACAAGAATATACAATGATTATGATGATCGTGTATTCAAGCTTATGGCAATCATTATGGCAAACAAACACAATGAATGCAAATCCCTGCATAGATAGACACGAGTACACACGTGATGTAATGGAGATAGAGATTTGCGTGGAGAATTACGCAATCGCAATCTGTCTTGCGCAACAAATTTCGTATTATCGTCAAACAATTTCATTCAGAATTAATAACTTCCCTGGAAATGCTGGAACATTGTGATAAACATCTGTTTCCATATCGTAGATGGATCCTCCGCAATCGGTGTTGCATTATACCCGTTGCAGAAATGGTAACATTGATAGCGATCCTCTTTAGTTTCTATTCTTGAAGACGAACCATTATTTGATGTACAATTATATTATACGAACACGTATGAAAATACGTCGAAATGTTTGTTTCGTTTGGAGAGAATTTTTTTCTCATATTCATTATCGGTTATCGTATTATTAAGATATACTCTTCGTGAAAATTATTACATTTTTAAGAAAATTCTTTTAATTCATAATAATTAATAAGTACGCGTTAAATTTCATTTTGTGTAAAATGAAGGGAAAAGACGTGGCAAGAGGAATATGATAGATTTTAATTTCTGATTAAGCATAAAATGAAAAATGTGGTTGGTCTATAGTTTGACAGGTTGATAAGTCTGTCTGGATGTTCAAGTATAATAAATGGCCCCGTATCTATCCGGATGTGCTATATATATATATATATTCTATAATTTGCATGAAGTGAATATTGGATATTGCGTCAATGTCTTGAACATTTTATCTTATCAATGAGGATGTATTTTAACACATTTCTATATTTGCCTTTCATTTTGAATTTCGATAATCGCGGCAGAATCTTTTAAAAAGAATTATTCAGACAGAGACAAGGGAAACTTTGTCCGAATAAGCAATTTCTTCTCAATATTTCAATTGTGTATCGAATCATATCGTATCAATTTTCTATATAATTTCTCGCTCACTCACGCTCCTCGAAAACGTTTTCCCTCGAAAATAATAAATTCAACTCTATCTGTGATTTTTAATTTCCAAATAAAATCAACCAATAAAAGCAATCTCACCGCATGTGCATATTCCCCGCAAATGCGCCGATAACAATCGAGGCAATTTTTGCATTAAATGGATCGTTTGTCAGTGGAAGGGATCGCGTAATGAACGCAGTTGCGCAGGGTAAATAGATGAACAATGAAACGGGTAACGATTAAACGCAAAATACGGTTTCGTGGCGTTTTGGGAGATCGGGGCGTTAGTTTCGTTCCTATATGAAATATATTCGACGAATTTCAAATTGTCCCAATGAATTACAGTTAATTAAAAGTGACAAACGTGCTTGGCGCCAAGATTACCGGTGGGAGACTCCAACGCAACACGAAGGTGGAAGACAATTTGACCGCGAATCCGTTAGTTTTCGACTCGTGAAATATCTCTCTTTTCAATTTTTATAGGAAATTTTCCTGGAAAAATTTGTCCCGTTTTGTTGGAGTAACTTTAATTGGAGTAATTCGAAGTATTGTTTTCGAGTCGATTTCTTTCTGAATACTCCGTTAAAATTATTCAAACGGATATGGATATTCTTATAAATCAATCGTTGTAGAAAATATAAAATTTTTATATACGACGTGTAGAAAATTAGTTATGACGGTGAAAAAAAGAGATGAGTCAGAGATTATAATTTAAGGAGTAAACGGAATTGTTCTCATGCGAGTACTATTTTTCTTTTTTCATATAATCATTTATGGTATGAATTATATCTTTGATTGCCAGGTAAAAATTTATAGCGCTTTAAAAAAGATTTGGAAAAAGTAGTACATTTTAACCTGATTTTAATATAGAAAGTGATATAATAAATTATTGTGAGAACGTAAAAATTTTATTTAGATGAGATGTTTCAATTATCGAAATTATTAAATGTATAAAATACGTTTAATACGTTTTCTCAAATATCATTCAATAACGAATTTTTCAACACAAAATTGTTTAAACCTTCCACAAAGTTTCCTTGCTCGAGACGAAACACCGATATTAACGGGAAACGCACACGTCTTCAAACATGTAATCAACGTTTGTTGTCATTTCAAAAAAAAAAAAACAGGAAAAACGAGTTTTCCGTCGTGGAAACAGAAAATGTTTACCTAAGAGGAGACGAAGAGGTGCGACGATAAATTCGATTGTAGCGATGTTCCGAGTGACGAGCACGAGTGTGAGTGTAAAGTAAGTTAATTCAACGCAAAAATATATACTCAAGAAATCGTAGAAGGGAATATTTAACGAAAAGAAAAGAGAAGGAAAAATATTACACGCGAGATCTCTTCGAGGAAATTCCCTCGAGGTATGAAAAAAAATCACGAGGCAATTGCGAAACTTAAGTAAGAAAACGGTTAAGGAAACAATCACCGACCGTAACGAATTCAATTATTCTCTTATTTGCGCTCGTTTAATTACGACACCGTTAATTATTCGTGGCTGGACATCGTAGGGGACCGGAAAACGGCTGCGTCCTTCCTGAACGTGGAAGTTACAAACTGGCCGTGGTTGTGGTGAACCTTGCTCCAAGCGTCACGGGGATAAAGTTCCTAGAAACAGAAGCATTCTGACTTACACCTGTCGGGAAAATTACGTTTTGAACGGAAGTTGCGTTCCCGTTTGCGTTCAATGACGAAATGGTACACGTAGGGTGTAGCATAACTCGGTAAGTTATTGCAGATTTGATTGGATCAATGAAAAAAAAATGGTATGCGAATAAATAAAAGTTGGAAGATCGACGATCCTTGAATTGTTGGGAAAAAAAAAGAAAAACATTTTCGAAATTACTTTTTTTGAGAAGATTTGTATTTAAAAACTTAAACGTAAAAGAATGTGGATAATTCTTTGATCGATAATTTTTTATTAACGAGGAATTTCGTTCGATTAATGGTAAAGGAAGGATTGAGAAATCATCGATGTTCCTCTGTTATTTTTCAAGAATAACTTTGATGGTTACGATTTTTCGAATCATCGCGCGCTATTTATTTTGTATTACGATATTTTTGAGCAATTATTAACTATATGAGCGCATCAAGATTTAACAGAAATTAATTAAAGATTTAATTAATAAATCTTAGGGAATAACTGGTCTGTTAGATGGAATGATTTAAATTTAAAGAATTAAAAATGAATAAATATACTTGTACAGAGAATTGAAGATTACTCGACGATATATAATTTATTAAATAATGTGTATTTCTTCACGAATATCGAACTCACGTATTCATTTATTGAAACTGAAAATTTTTTATGAAATACAGAGAAATTCATTTAATGAAATGTATTACAATACAAATGGGATCGATCAATTCAATATACAATATCGAATATACCGATTCTACCAGTTTACCAATAATTTCTGACTCGAATAATAGCATAGATTTTCGTAAAATTGATTTTAAATTCGGGAATATTTGTTCGCTTCATCGAAATTAAAATATAATTAATTAAACAGGATTAAATATATATAATTCACTAATATTTCATGAATTAATTGATTAATTATTATATCCCTCGATATATTATTTGGATTATTCCTTCAATTTTTCTGCTCTCCCTATGTATAAATAATCCAATAATATTTGACTATTAGTTTAAATTAATAAAATTTTAAAATATTGTCGCCAGTACATTATATTGGCGACAAAATAACATTTTATTTACGCTCACATCAAGGGAACAATGTATCTTGCTCCAAACGAATGAAACGATAGCGAATTTGTCGTGCAAATCGTCACACAAATTGCCTGTGACGGATGATCCAGCATTTCGTGCAATCACTTGTTGTCTCGAAGACGGATCATGGGGCCATCGTTTCTTCCAGTTTAATATCAGTTTTTATACACTTTATATTTTCGATTCAAACGAAAACTAATTATTAAAAATATAATTTTTGGAAAAAAAGAAATTTGCTATTAAATGTATAAACATCTCTCGAATATTTTTTATTTCCAACTAATTTCGTTTCTCGAGTAAATTAAAATTTGCAAAGAAATAGAAATTTTTTTCTTCTTTAGATAGATTAAACTTTTTTAAACGTACAGAAGTAATCAACATCGTTTATATATTATGTAGAATGTACACGTTTCATCAAATTAACCTTCCTTTTCATTTTCAATATCGTTTCTTCTATTTTTCTTTTCTTCTTCTAATTTATTTTATTATTGGTTTCAGAGTATACGGAATACTCATTTCACGAGGTAACTGGCTGCTCGTGAACGGATTCGACGTAGAATTTGGGAT